GGGGGGCAAGTGAAGCCAAGCAGGACTAAGCTTTAAAAATGTCCAATGAGGATCTTCCTGTTTTCATTTTTTTGCTCAGTTATTTCATTGCAAATAATCTATCCTCTCAATGGGCCAGACGGCAGGATAAGTGGCCAGCTGATCACACCCAAAGTCACAGGGGTTGTTGTGAGCCAGGTGCAGTAATTCTATGTATTTGTTTGTTTCCATGCCCAGACGATGTATTCTGCCGCGGTATATTGGAGAGGTTACAAGGCAAAAGAAAGAGTTGCATTCAATAGCTTTCACTTCTAAAATATTGTTCTGCTGTGTCTCCCTCACATGTCACCATTTTGACATCATTGCTACCTTGACTTCTTGTCTCCTCCTTGACTATTCTCAAGCTGCCATTGAGGCTTGTGAATGCCAATTTCCTCTCCCGTCTCTACTGACTCCTGTGTGATGACCTGCCATGAATCAGTTTGGGGAAACCCAAGTTCCCGAGTGTGACTTCCCAGGGAAAAGATGATTTTTTTCCTGCTCTGTTATCAGATCCTCTTCTATTTCAGCTTTAACTGAGTCCCTCCACTTAACTCTTGGGAGCAAAGTGCCATCTACAGACTCTACTTATCTGGCGACCGCTCACGATCTTTCCAGAAGACATTTTGTTCAGTGCATTTTTTAAAAAGCATGGACAGTCTACAAATAATGTGTTCTATTTGGCTGAATCAAAGAAAAAGCATATTGACTAAAGAAAGAAAAAACATAGTTAATAACAGGAAGTGAACAAATCCAGATTTCATGTTATAGCCTGGGGGGGGGAAGAAAGCAGCCTTCCTATTTCAAATACAGTGGTGCCTCGCTTAACGAGTGCACTGTTTAACGATAAATTCGCATAGCGATCTATTTTTTGGTCGCTAATGCGATTGCATTGTGATGTTCTGAATAGGCAAAACATCGCATTGCGATGATCGGTAAGCATTTTGCTTACCGATCTTCACATTGCCATGTTTTTTAAACAGCTGATCGCCGGTTCCAAAGTGGCCGTCAGGTGCCCCAAATGGCTGCCGCAAGTGTTTTCGCGCCCTGCCCTCACTTACCGAGGGCGCGAAAATGGCGGCGCTATGGAGGTACATCGCTGAACGGTGAGTTTGGGAGCCATAGGAACGCATTAAACCAAGTTTAATGCGTTCCTATGGCTTTTTCCGTTCCGTTTAGCGATGTTTCTGCATAGCGACGATTAATCCGGAACGGATTAATGTCGCTATGCGGGGCACCACTGTAATGTGTTATGCTAGATAATTTTGGTGGCTCTTCATGCCTAGATTTCCTTTCACTTTTTAATATTAATAGTATTGAACACAAAATCAATTTTATTTTTTCCATTTTCATTTAAATACTGAAGAGACTTTCAGCTGATCATTTTCAGCAAAACGACCATTGTTGCCTTTACATCATGAATTTTATCTTGTGTAGACAATACATCTACTCCAATGGAGAAAAAAATACTGGTGTTTTCCTGCTCAGAAAGGAGCTAGAACATTTCTCCAAGGATTCTCAGAAGCTATTGGTTAAGTGCATTTTTTAAAAAATCAACCAATATTTGGGTGTCCATGCTGGAAAATCTCTTCCTTGGTCTCAACACAAAGACATGGGTCCACAGTTCTTCAAGAGGTCCCAGTTCCCCATGCTAAGTTGTCAGCATGCATGCCTAATGCTTCCATGAATTGGTGGTGTTTTTTTAAAAAATAAATAAATCCTGGTGACGGAGTGGTCTCCTGGATTAAAAAAAATCCTGGTGACGGAGTGGTCTCCTGGATGGGTCATCTATTCAGAGTCTTCTGTGCAGCCCATCTCGCCTGGTTGGTGGATCTTCTGCTTGGATGAGAACTCCCGTTTCTTGAGCAGCAGAGAAGGTATAGTTTGGCTTGAATTGGATTGGGGGTGGAATGGCTGGGTGTGGGTTTGGGTTTTCCGTTGAGTGTTGGGGTTACGGCTAGGGCTATTGCTATGGCTCAATCAGACTGGGATGGGGTGAGTTTGAGAGCTTCTCTACTGCAGAAACTCTTTGAACAGTGTTTTTCAAGCTTTTTTGAGCCACATCCTTATTATAACAGCCACGTAACCTGTGATCCCTTTCAACACTTGCTTAAAAGGCACTTTTACGGGGTTAAGAAAAATAGGGTTGTTGTTTTTTCAGAATATAATCCTAACCTAACCTATGAGTATCAATATAATAATGCATCATGTGGTGGGGAGGTTGTCAATCTACTTTACATTTTCTTTTGAAAAAATACTCTCTCTCTCTCTCTCTCACACACACACACACACACCTGGCTTGGGACTGTCAACTTTACATAAACACATTTCTACTGAGCACATTAGGCATGATGAAACATATTAGACAGAATATCAAACACATACTGAGCTTCTTTATATTCTCTGCACCTTTCTTTGGTCTATACGGGTTCCAAAATTAATTGAAAGTGTTTGAGAGTGCAGGGGCTGAAAAAGGAGGCATTCTCATCAGTGTTATCCTAATAAAGGGAGAAAGTCTATTACTTCGTTTAACCCATGAGGTATTAGGGTGTTCAATTTCAGGATCCAGTCAATTTGACCTCATGGGTTAAATGAACTGCATGTTATTAAGTCAATCCTGATTCGATGGCAACCTTTCCAGAGAATTCCTGGAGCCAGAGACGCAGGTAAAAAGCTCAGAAGCAGATCAATTTAAATTCCAACATAACACAGATCCCAGAATTAACCCCATTTTTTGAGAATGGCCACACTTTTTGTTTTCAAGTATGACATCTGGACAGATTCCTAAACTTCCTGATTCGGTTTTCTAGGTTTCTTTGTGCTGACGGTTTTGGTGACTCCTTATCCCATAACCCCTCCATTGCTCCAATGACCTTGGATGCTGTTCTTGCTCTCCTCCTGTGCCTCTTCAAGCAGGATCTCTTCCACTATACTTTCAAAGTACGCATCGCTGCCAGAATTGCACATTCACCTCAAAATGTGGACTCTGCCTTTGTCTTCCGGCACCCCACTCTCAAAAACTTCCTAGTAGAGCTGCAGAACATTCTCTCGCAGAGACCACCAAATGTCCAATAAACCTTTCAGCTGGTCCTCCACCGGCTAACAGGCCCCCCATTTGGACTGCTAGCAATGACTCTGGAAGGACTTTTATCCCTCAAAACCCTTTTCCTGGTGGCTATTACACCAAGCTCACAGAGCCATTGAGCTGGCAGACCTCCGAGTAGATCCTTCTTTTCTGCAACTCCATCCTGACAAACTAATTCTTTATCAGGATCTTACTTTACTTCCTAAGGTCATGTCTGACTTTCATATATGACAACCCATTGTGCTTCCGACCGTCTTCCCGTCACATTCCAACGACCGAGAACATTCTCTGCAGTCTTTGGATTCTGATGAGCCTTGGCATTTTATACCTCCCGTTCCTCTATTTAAAAAAAAAAGGCCAAGAAGTTCTTGGTGAGCTATCCTGGTTCATCTTAATGTTCTCCACTTTCAAACTATCTCCCAATGGATCATCTTCACCATACGTCTGGCCTACGACTTGCTTATCAACCATTCCTGGGCACCAGATTGGCCAACTCTAATAGAGCTCTTGCAGACTCCATGGTGTTTCTCAGAAGATCTAATATAACAGATCTCTAAAACAGCCACCTGGGCCACGCCCTCTATGATGCTGTGTTTGCTCGAGCTCTCCTAGCCTGTGCTTCGCTGTGAGGACCCACCACCGGGTAAGTCTGCTTGCTAGTCACCCATATCTCTACATTCCCAGAGACCACAGAGAAGAAAGAAAGGTTTTTGGAGGGCTAATCTCTGAACTCTCACCTCCAGCCCCTCCTCCCCTCCGTCCATCACCTTGTCCTGTGTCTCCTGGGCATCAGTGGACTGCTCTTCTGCAGTGAGGCTCTCTGGCAATGGGTGGATATTGAGCATTTGGAGGGAGGTCCTAGCAAACCCATGTAGAAGCTGTAGTGAATTATGATCACCTCTGTGCAGGTCAAAACTCTTTTCTGTGAATCCACAGATGACCACTAAAAAACAACAACAAAGTTACAGGCAAGGAACATCTCTATTTCAGGGCTCCAAATATCATATCATCAAGTGGCACCCCTTTCCAAAAACCCATCTGAATTACAGAGCATATATAGGCCTTTTGTAATCCCCTGTTTGTGTTGTGCCTATGTTTCTGCTGAATACTTTGGTGATGTTTCTAGTCATTGAGGAAAAAAAAGAACCAGCCACCAAAACACTTGCTAAGAGATGGTTGTTTTTCCAGCTTTCCCAGGACTGCACAGACTGGTTCTTCCCCAAGAG